ATTTATTCCTTTTATGTAACTATAGTCACAAAAATTTATGTCATCATTGTGACTTATTATTATTATGATTATTTTTTATCATGTTCATTCTACGATTACGTTACACAAATCATAGAATAAGCGTACGAATAAAAATGTTAATTAACTCAAAAGCTTTATATATATGTGGTGTGTGTTACTTATACGAACGATATAAGTAGTATAAGAAGGGACGTGAAAGAACAAGTCTCACGGTCAGAAGAGGAAAACGGAAAGCAAATGGAGCAAAAGCAAGAAGTAAATGGAGTACCAACAGAGGAAGGAAAGAAAGCAACAACAGGAATGGAAGAATGATGACGGAGCGTTGGAAGTCATGACTCAAAGATGGTGTGCAAATAGAGTGTTCAATGTAATGTTTTCGTTTTTAATTGATCATTGAATCACAGTGTACAATTTAAACAAGTTGTTTGATTCTGATTTTTGTTTTGTCTTAGCAAAATATTATAATGAATTAAGTCAAAATTATCTTTGATAGCTACAATCCGTAACTTGTGTTTTAAGTAGTATACAGCTAAATTACTATTGGAGAGAAAAATGTCGGATTCGAGTGTATAGTGCAATCAAAGCGTTAGTGAAGACTAGAATACATGTGAAAGAAGACAGTTAATAATCTATTTTTATTGTAAAAGGAAGTCTAAACATAAGGTACACATATTTCGCCAGCGGACTGTCTTCTCTAAATGCACTACTTTTCATTATTTGGTCTTTACATGTTGAGTCAATACATATCTTTCAACTATATTCGGGCTAAATCGTTACATGAGAAGACGTGACCAACGGAGTTCACCCCTGTTGGGTTTAGGCAATAACTACAGAACACTAATGTATGAAGTCACGCAAAATCGTTAGATGGATCAGAGTTAGCCAATAACACTGTCGGATGCCGGCCTAGTGGTCCAGGGGTTGGGCGTTCGCGAACAAGACCGAGGGCCGTGGGTTCAAATCCTCCGAATAGCAGGAGTCGTGGATGCTGACTGCTGATGAGAGTCCCGAACTAGGACGAAACGGTCGTCCAGTGATTCCAGGTTTCCAATGATAATCTAACAACGAGGGATTTATGATTTCAGTAATAAATCGTTAAGCAAAAGACTAACTTGTTTTGATGAATTTTTCCTAATTCAGTCAGTTCATTATGTAAAGTGTTCAGAATTCAATCTTAAAAACTTGAAACATCCTGAATTATTATCAATCCAAAATGTTGCAGAGATTGTCGAACTTAAAATTCTCTCTCTTGAACCGATTTGAATAAGGTAACCATTGAAAACTAGGAAACCATGGATAGCTATTTCATTCAAGTTTGAAATTAGTCTGCAATGCTCATCTATAACTCTAAGATGCATCCTGCCTAAGAGGTTGTAGTGAATCCACTTTTAATGAAGAAAACGCGATTGGTTTAAGAGAAACATTCATTATTATAACCAATTGCACTAGTGACTGTTTTACTGAACCTCTCAATTTATTACTTCTGTGTACGCGCAAACTTTCCATTTATGTTGCTGCCATTTTGGCTCTACTGTCTGTAACTTTGCTTCACTTTTCTGGCACGATTTTGGTATTCTTTCGATACCACAAAATGGCTAGAAAATATATTCTCTCTCATGGATTTACTTATTTTCTCTGTGACAGGCACGTAATTGGTCTGTAGTGGTGATCTTAATCAATCTCGATTCACCCCTGACCGAAGATGCTACGTTGACGTGGTGGTCGGGATTGCCTATCGTGATGACCCGACCACGAGCTATATTGGCTGGAACTGATGTTTCTGAAGGTTCTACCATGCCAGGCAGGTCGATTGCAGAACGATCAGACTAAACGCAGATACTCAAGGTCTAAGGGCGAAGTCGTACTGCTGACTGCAGTAAGGTGTTTCCCTCGGACAACCAGCATCTGCAGCGATGCTACTGCCTTCTCACAAGAAAGGAACGGTTAGAAAAGGTCTACCCTAAAAGTGTCACACCTCACCCTACCTCACGGATTTCCGTCTCAGTCAGTAAGGGCTGCCCGCTAAGGTCTTTTAAGAGCGGAGCTAATACTCAAAAAACTCTTCGTAAAAGGGCCGTGCGTGACCGGCCTGAAGCAGTTGTCCGTTGGGCTCTGCGGTCACGCTCCCAGGTCTCCAAGACCAACACTAATCTACCTTCCTTTTAAGGTTCCTCAAGAAACAACCTTCCACGGTGTGGGCAGCCGGGAATTGATAACCGCACTCATACCTGTAACAGCACACTGATCTCGACTCACGCCATTACAAGGTCATTATTTAAATGAATAGAATGTCCAATACATCAATGATTTCTTAAACTACAGTTAATCCTTCATGTGAAGTATTATATTCATTCAGTAATTTATGATCGGTAATGTAATGTAATTTATAATACTGAAATCTCAAATCAGTAATCACAGTGAGATCAACTATCAAACTTCATTTTGTTTGACTTCATAGAGGTATATTATTTTGACGTTATGATAAGTTGTTACTTATAAAACAAACTACTTATTACATTGGGATAATATCTATATCAAATGAAACATTATGTATTCGATTACATCTACTAAAAAACGGAATTAGATCAAAATTCTTTATAATCCAGGTTATGCTAATGTGGTGCGAGCTACTTATAAGTAGTATATGGCGTGAGTGTCAACGTAATGTCTGGCAGCAGAAGATGGGGGAAGATCCAGAAAGGAAGAGTAAGAAAACAATGGAATTTGTATGAAACGCATGAATAGTGACAATGGATTAATGTTTTGCAACAGGAACAGTCCAGTTCGATAGAATGAACTGATCTTTTGCAAATGAACAATTTACGATATGGTTTTCCGATTTTACTGAGTAACTCTGTAATTTTCGTTAAATACAATTCGGTTGCCCCACCGGTGTTCTCACTAACCATAGAATCAGATCACGCGCCATATCATATTTTAAAACAATCAAAGTTAATAGAATAAGATAGACTTATATTACTGGCTCAAATTCATGAAGTCACTGACTAATGAACTCAGCCGTGCAGGTAGGTGTAAACTACTTAGTTGGAGTCTGCGAGAAAATGATAGTCGATTGTTAGAGACCATGAACGACATGGCTCAACATCGTTTGCAATGACGCAGGTGCATCCATTCTTTGCGTTCTCTCAAATACTAACCTCGGATTTCTTCATGACCTTTATTTCATTAAATTATACTTCTTGGATAATATCTTCTAACCCTAGTGCAGTGCGCGCTACTTATAAGTAGTATATGACGCGAGTGAAAACGTAATGTCTGGCAGCAGAATATGAGGGAAGATCAAGAAAGGAAGAGTGGGAACACAATGGAATTTGTATGAAACGCATGAATAAGTGAAATGTCAGACAATGGATTGATGATGGATTAAATATTTGCAAATTAACGGTTACGATATGGTTTTTCCCATTTTACTGTGTAACTCTGTAATTTTCGTTAAATACAATTCGGTTGCCCTCACCTGTGTTCTCCTTCGCTACACTAGGACTAAACAGTTGTCTAATGCATCCAGATTACCAATGTTGACCTAACATTGATTTCAATGAAACTCAAAAATTTTCATAGCCGTATAAAGTTGCATGTTTGAGCAATAAATACACACTAAATGATTTTTATTGAAAGTTGACTTGAAATAAAGATTATTCGCATAGAATATTCTATATTTAATCAAAGATAGACATCAACTGAGGAACTATTGGTAACCGTTAAGTATTGAACAACAGGTACTTTGTGGTAAATGACTTCAGGGGAATGTAGATTCCCCATCTTTTCAACGAGTCGAACTTATGGATCTTCATAGTTTTAAGACGAATACGATCAATAAACTAATATCCATTAGTAAATATTTTCAAGTTTAATTAATTCGCCATAAAATTTAATTGCAATTAATGACAACTATTTCATTCTTGACATGTTTGAATGCCACAAATCATGACTTACAACTAAACGTTTTTGGAACTTATCTTGAAATAATCTATTGTGAGTAATCTATGAGAAACATTATTATGAATTGAAAAATAATTCCTTAGACAATTTTTTCAAGATTTTTTTATTAGTATATAAATGAGTTGTCATTATCTAAAGGATATAAGTGTTTATTAACTGTTTTCTGTGAGAAATACTACAGATCTGTTCAACGATACACCATCAGCAACAACTTATAGTGACAGAGAACAAACCAAATTCCAAATGAGGAAGAAATTAGGAAGGAATGCAGACCCTCTTGTGAGAATGAGCCAACAACGTTATAAGTCAAGCTCTAACTTGGAATCCTCAAAGTCAGAGGAAAGAAGAAACACGAAGGAACACATGAAGCAAAGAATTGAAAGCAGACTTTGAGAAGAATGAAGAACAGTTGGATAGAACTAGAAAGAAAGGCCTAGAACAGAGTAGTTTGGAGAATGTTGGTCAACTGCTTCCATTGTACTGGGGGTAAAAGGTGTAAGTAAATACTTACTTACTTACTAACTTACGCCTGTTACCCCCAATGGAGCATAGGCCATCTACCAGTTTTCACCAACCAACTCTGTCCTGGGCTTCCCTTTCCAATTCTCATATCTTTCTCTATTTCTCAGCATAATGTCTTCCTTGGCCTTACTCTTTTCCTTTTGCCTTGAGGGTTGCATGTGAGGGCTTGTCTTGTGTCACAGTTCGGTGCTTTTCTCAGTGTGTATCCTATCCACTTCCAACGCTTCTTCCTGATTTCCTTAGCCACTGGAATCTGGTTTGTTCTCTCCCACAGTAACTTGTTGCTGATCGTGTCTGGCCAACGAATCCGAAGTATCTAGCGTAGACAACTGTTATTTAAACACTTGTATCTTTTGGATGATGCCTTTCGTAGTTCTCCAAGTTTCCACTTCATACAGTGGAACTGTCTTGATATTGATATTGAAAATCCTGATTTTGGTAAGTTGTAAGTAAATAAGTATCCAATAAAATCAGTCATAATAAATTCAACTTACTTGATTATTTTTTGTATTCGGTAACAGTTTACTTGATGTACAACATACATCAATATGTATTGGTGGAATTTGTCGTTTTGCTTTCGAAATTTTCTCAATTGTATTCACATTATTGATTGAAGTGACAATCACAGGACAATTTGTTGAATTAGCCAGAAATAGACATTTTTCAATTGATCTTAATTCTAACTAATTAATTAATAAAAAAAGCAATGAAAAATAGAATTTGCAACATTTTCAACTAAATTAATCTAAGTAAATGGTGGTTTTTTTATTATCACGAAGTAATGAAGTGAATTGATGAAAACCGAATTGTATTTTCGGTCAGAGTCTTGGAGGTTTGTGTTTTTACACATTTGAAATCATCAATCAATCATTGTTAGACCACCATTAGGAACCTGGAAGCAGTGGACGGCCGTTTCGTTCTGGTACGGGACTCATCAGCAGTGCGCATCCATGACTACTGCACCTTGCAGGATTCGAACCCGGGACCTTCAGTATTGAGCGCGAACGCCGGCACGCAGCGGTGTTAATGTTTAACTCTGATTGATCTAGGGATTCTGCGCGACCTCATCTATTTGTCTTTGGTAGTTACTGCCTACACCCGACATGGTTGAACTCCATTGGTTACATCCAGTGCTTCCAGGTTTCAAATGGTGGTCTAACAATAATTGATTGATGATTTCAAATTGTATTTATTCTGAGTTTTTCTCCTTACTATATATGTCCGCCTGGAGCTACTGTCTGTCCCACCCTCGGGTAATGAAGGAGGGTTGGGCGTGGGGTTATTGATTCTATCTCGTAGAAAATTAACTCACTGAAAAAAGGCGCTAACCAATTGTCACTATGCACATACATAAACAACTTCATATGGAATCAAACCTTAAGATTATTAGTTCTATTAGCAAAAACAACACTGTGAACTAACCATTTCGGTGATTCAATTATCTCTCTCGACTTTAAATGAAGGTTACGCCACAAATACCTAATCTGTTCCTGATGAGCCAACTTCACATCACCATAGGCTTTCTTTTTTTCTATATTGTAACAAACTACTTAATATGTGACAGTAGTCTAGTAATGTTTGATGATAATCATTTCTCTCATAAACGAGGGTCAATCTGTCAAAAGAAACATGAGAGTCACTTTTCATTCTTACTCTCTAAAACCTTTATGATTATATACACTTGAAACCTAACTAATTAAAAAATTTTCTCTGAAAACCAGATGAAAATTTTCTGTAAAATATATTTGACCGAATCTATCTATAAGCGTTTTCTTGTCAAAATGAATACTTGACATCAGTTTACTTCCTGTAATAGGGTATACTGTTTCCTCTCACACATTTTATCTCTGTGTAGGTTACTATGAAAGTGGTGTCTTTTTGAACATCACCTTCAGATTATGTCTAACGTTCTTACACATCAGTATTTGGTGTTTTTATAATATATTATCAATGTTGTAATTCAATCCTTATTCACCTATTTAAAAGATACATTTCTTGTCAAATTGGCGCCACTTTTCGAATTACAATTTATTCTTGTTTCTTTCAATGCTTAATGTTTGTTTACAACATTGTTCGCCATGTTAACATTACCATTTAAATATATATATATATATATATATATATATATATAGTTTTCCCATTTAAGAATCCGTTACGTTCATTTGTCATCACCTCTGTTATATGATGTATTTATGTTAAAAATCAATAGTTTTCATTAAAAAATTAAACGAATTATTGATGGAGCTCTGTCTCTATTCATGATCATTATTGTCAGATTATACTGTTTCACTTCCGGATTCCATCGATCTTATAAATTAAATTTCGCTAAAATTGCGAAAAATCCATCTTGAAGTCAGTCAGTCAGTTACAACGTTGAAGTTCTTATGTATAAACATCATTTCAAGTTGCCATACCATATTATCACACACAGAGATCGAATCGTCAATTCAAATTCCATTGTAGTAAAGTTAGTAGAATTATAAGCAGTAATTTGGGAGATTAGGGTTGGAAGATATTATTCAAGAAGTAAAACCTGGTGAAATAAACTTAAAAAAGGAAGATGAACGTGCTAAAGAATCCAGAGGATTAAGAGAATCCAATCAATAGATGCAATTGAGCCATTGCAATCGATTTTGAGCCATGTCATTCACGATCTCTAACCATCGATCACTATCATGACTCAGTCGCTTGTCAGTGATTTCATGGATGCCTGTGATGTTCTGGTTTGGCCGCCCCTAGCTTTCTTCCAACCTACTCCTACACCACAAAACATAGCTTGTTGAGGTAGTCGGTGGTTGGGCATTCGTAGCACATGTCCCAACCACATCAACTGATGAAGTTTCAATACTTCATCTATTGATCTGCCATCCTTACCTAGCACCGGTTTCCTAATAACAGCATTGCTTACTCGATTGTCCTAATGTTTCGGAGACAGCGATAATCGAAAACCAGTAACCTACGAATATCTTCTACTCTGACTGGTCATGTTTCACAGCCATAAAGTAGGACGGAGAGAACTGGTCCGTACTATACTCGCTCGTCCTTTGGTTAGCAGACGAATATCTCGTCTATGCCATAAATGTAACTTATGATAATAATGACTGGTTACTTTTTCAGGGGCAGAATGATTATTGTCTGTAGTGAAGATACGTGATCAGATGAAATGTGTAGGTGGTCGGCAAATAACTGTGATAAAGTGGATTATCCACTTGGCTACGGTCATCACCCAGTAATGGCTATCCGGACCACTTCGGTCCGGACATGTGTACATGCAGCTTCCAGTCTTGGCATTAAAGTTGACCATATACACTTAGTTTCTGTATTTAATGTTTTGACAAATGCTAGACAGAATCCATGCATTGAAAACTAATTGTATAGGTAGAGTTTACTGCTTTTATTTTGAGTTTGAGCGGTAATTCACTTGGTCGTCAACATCTATAATACCTCACGCATACATTCGAGTTTTTTAATTATGTTTAATTTGATTTAGCCCTTTTGAATAACTTATTCAGCAAATAGTGTCATTTGAAAAGTAACAACCTGTCTACACTATTGTACTTTTATTATTATTGTGTTTGTGTAAGCGCATTGGTTACAGCTGATGCATATATGCATTCTATTCGCTTTAATGTTAGTCATTGAAGTAGTTCACTAACTTGTTTATTTTCCTATATGTATATATGTGTACATTTTAACCCGATTCATTCGCTTCTCGACATTTGCATATCATTTAGGTTTCACTTTGTATGTTTGTGGGTTTGTAGTCGGTATGGTGCAATAAATAAACGTCATCAACGTGTCATATTCTTCTTCTGAATTTTATACACTGTTGGGCGCTATCTAGTAATGATTATCAGGATGAACAGTACCCGAAGTTTAGAGATTGTATCGAATATCCACGGCCACACATCCTCCCGTAACTAGCTGTCCATACGAATAATCTTTTATTGGTCTTTATTTTGTCCCTTGTTGATTATCTGTTACGCCTGCACGCAAACACGTCATTTTGACATGCTTGAACTATTACGAGTTTGCATTAGTCGGAAAACAAGAGGGAGGATCGAGGATCCGGCGACACGACATGCTGCTCAAATTCGATTATCACAACCCCCATATTTAGTAAAAAATAAGAAGACGTGATATGAAGTAGAACCTGTATTCTACAACCATCCAGAAAGTACGAGGTCCGAATCCAGAAGAGAATCAGGACCCCGGACTAGGGATCCGGGACCGAGCCCTGGTCCTGGTCGTGGTCATCAAACATTACAGATAATGCGTATATATACATTTCGGTCGAATAGGAAACAGCATCGAAGTCTGTGGCATCGACAGTTAAGACGACCAATAGGAAACAACATTTGAAGTGACACTGATAGTCAGGACAACCAATAAGAAAGCACATTGAAGTCTGTGACATTGACAGTTAGGATGACCATAAAATTGACCAGTAGGAGTTAACCAATAGGAATTGACCAATATTTCTCTTACGATATTGGGTGAATATCCTAACATTATCATAATTAATAATTACTTGGTTATTTTTATCTAAACACTTGCGATAGCGCAGGTGTATTCATTCCTTGTGTTCGCTTAAATTCTAACCTTCTGATTCCTCATCATCTCTCTCTTTCTCCTTTTGAAGTTATCTCACTGAATTATACTTCTCGAATCATATCTTCCAACCCTAATCTTCTCCATTACTGCTAATACTTCTATTATCGTTACCACTACTGGATTTGAACTGATAGTTGCGTCTCTAAGCTGATGCGGTATGGCAACTTGAACTTATGTACGAAGTTCTGCGTTGTAACTGACTGACTCTTTTGAAGCTTTTTCAATAAATACTACTAAACTGTATTGATTATTTTAGTTCATTCTATAAACCAAGGGATCTTTGCCCCTTTTTCCACCATCCAATATCTATTAAGAACAGTAGAAAAGCCCTATTTAAATATATGTATAGTTTAAACTTATCAGCAACACTTAAGAACAGCGAAATAGGTGGGTAGAGCACTTTCAGGAACTCTTGAATCGACCAGCTCCACTGAACACACCCAACATCGACGCAGCATCCACGGAGCTCCAAATTGATGTTGGCGCACCTACAATTGAAGAGATCAGTATGACCATCAGACAAATCAAGAGCGGCAAAGCAGCAGGACCAGACAACATTCCAGCAGAGGCAATGAAAGCAGATGTAGAAGCAACTGCGAAAATATTTCACATTCTCTTCAAGAAGATTTGGGATGAGGAACAAATACCATCAGATTGGAAAGAAGGATACCTCATCAAAATACCAAAGAAAGGCGATCTGAGCAAATGTGAGAACTACAGGGGCATCAATCTTCTTTCAATACCAGGCACAGTCTTCAACAGAGTATTGTTAAACAGAATGAAGGACTTTGTAGACACCCGCCTGACTTCGAGATCAACAGGCTGGATTTCGTAAGGATCGATCTTGTACTGACCAAATTGCTACATTACGGATCATTGTGGAACAATCAATTGAATGGAACTCACCACTCTACATCAACTTCATCAACTACGAGAAAGCATTTGATAGCGTGGATAGGAAAACACTGTGGACTCTTCTTCGACACTACGGTGTTCCTGAGAAAATAGTTAACATCATACGGAACTCTTATGATGGATTCAACTGCAAAATCGTACACGAAGGACAGCTAACAGAATCTTTCGAGGTGAAGACCGGTGTCGGGCAAGGTTGCTTACTCTCACCCTTTCTCTTTCTCCTGATCATCGACTGGATTATGAAAACATCAACATCTGGAGGGAAGCACGGTATCAACTGGACAGTTAGGACGCAGCTGGACGATCTGGACTTCGCAGATGACCTGGCTCTTCTATCGCACACGCAACAACAAATGCAAGAGAAGACGACCAGTGTAACAGCAGCCTCTGCAGCAGTAGGTCTCAACATACATAAAGGAAAAGGCGAAATTCTCCGATGCAACACAACATGTACCAACCAAATCACTCTTGATGGAGATGCCTTGGAGGACGTTAACACCTTTACACATCTGGGCAGTATCATCGACAACCAAGGTGAATCCGATGCAGATGTGAGTGGGCTGCGTTTCTACAGTTGAAAAATATCTGGAAATCCAAACAACTGTCAGCCAAAACCAAAATCAGGATTTTCAATACAAATGTCAAGACAGTTCTACTGTATGGAGCGGAAGCATGGCAAACTACGAAAGCCATCATCCAGAAGATACAAGTGTTTATTAACAGTTGTCTACGCAAAATATTTCGGATTCGTTGGCCAGACAATATCAGCAACAACAAACCCGATTCCAGTGGAGGAGGGAATCAGGAAGAAGCGGTGGAAATGGATAAGACACACACTGAGGAAAGCACCGAACTGCGTCACAAGACAAGCCCTTACATGGAACCCTCAAGGTCGAAGGGAAAGAGGAAGGCCAAAGAATACATTACGCCGATAAATAGAGAAAGATATGAGGGGAATGAACAAACATTGAACAGAACTGGAGAGGGATGCCCAGGACAGAGTTGGTTGGAGAAAACTAGTGGGCGGCCTATGCTCCATTGGGGGTAACAGGCGTAAGTAAGCAAGTAAGTAATAGTTTAAACTTATCATAAAAAGCTTCTCTGACACATCTTACTCATTAGAAATGTATTGATTAATATTTCAAAAAAATATTTAAAATTCACTTGTTCAATCTTACATCATTTTGTTTATTCAATGGATTCATTGAATTATTTGTGATTTTTGTCTTTGTTAGATCACATTTAATAAAAGCAATTGAACCAGTTTGTTTACATTTATTGAAAGCTTTTAATAAATTCATAATGTATTGTGAATCTTTAGAAGAAGTTTTATCCATTTCAATTGGATCAATAATAAACTGTTGATTGGTTTGTTTTGTTGCATCAAAGTTTACGCGCGTAAAATAAATAATTTAAACATGAAAAAAAAGTAAGAAACAGATTATTGTATAAACAAAATTTGAGGGAAGCTGAAATTGTGAAAATAATCACAAGTAGCAGGTAACATTATGATGTTTATGTCTTTACAAGAATAGTAGCTAAATAGTTTATAGATCAGATTGATCTTAACATCAGAAACTGATATAATTTCTCACTTACGAATTGCACTAGGAATAATGTAATATCGAAAATATTCAGGTTAAATTTCTTGATATTTGCATTACAAAGTGACCTTGTAATACTTCCGGAAACCAAGCAACATTGGTCAGTTAGTTATTTTATCACAGTATGGAGTTAATGCAAATCGTTTGCACTGGTGCATGTGTATCCAATCTCTGTGTGTCCTCTGAAATTCTAATCTTCTGAATTCCTCATCACCTTTCTCTTTCTAAATTTATTTCTCGAATAATATTTTCAAACCCTATTCTTCTCGATTACCGCTAATACTACAATGCGATTTGGATTGACGATTGCGTGTCTATGTGCTAATGTAGTATGGCAACCTGAACTTATGTACGTAAGTACTTACGAGTTTCTTCGTTGTAACTGACTGACTGACTCACTCATTAATTAACTCACAAAGTGGCTGATAAGTAGTTTACAGCAGATAGTCCCTTAGAAGTTACAACCAGAGAGAAATGTCTAGAAATCGAAACGCTTAGCTCCATCAAATTGTTTTGAAGATCAGAAGCAATGTGAATAGAGTAGTCAGTCAAACTGTGTCTTCACTAAATATACATGTATATTCCATTTGGTCAAGATGCTTTAGTTCGTTACATCAATATGCTATTCATGATTATGTTTAACTGAGAAAATGAAGTTTGAAATAATCAAACTCAACTAGGGAATATACGTTTAATAAAATTATTATAGTCATCGGTCATAATAGGCGGTATTTCATGCTTAAAGAATGAATCTGTTGTTCATCTGTCTTGCTAATTCAGATGATAAGCATAAAAGAACACTGACGGTAATGTATGTTCAACTTCGAAAACTAATAACTATGTGGATTTCTATGAAATAATCAACCTTTATTCTAAATTGCGTATAACTCAAGGTTACTTTAGAGTATAGACACATGTCGTGACGGGCGATGTTCAAGATTTGAACTCGATATGTGCTAATACTTCAAACTAACTTCTTGAATGGGGAGGCAAGAGTAAACGAGAGAATTTCCATTTAGCAAGTGGATAAATGCTCATTTATAAATAGGTTATGCTCGTCAAATGATATACTTGGAACTATTACGAGTTCCCTTAAGTCGGTAAACGAGAGCTAAGACAAGTGATCGATTGACACGATAGGCTACTCTAATCCGATCGTCCCAAGCCCCCACTAACGGTATCAAAACCTATTGATATGACGTCGAAAGTGTATTCTACAAACACCGAGAAAATATGAGGTTTTTTACAGAAGTAGAAGAAGAGGAGCATAAAACTTTACAGACAATGCATATTTATACAGTTAAGTCAAACGTGAATACTAACTCCAATAGGAAACAACATTTAAAAGGATGTGAACTTGATAGTTTAGGACGACCTTAAATGTTGTCCAATAGGAATTGATTAACAGAATTTTATTTAGAAAATCTGATGAATATTCTAACAAAATATACATAAATATATTCACTAGCCTTAGAAAATGAATTCATTCCTTGGCCAATGATATGCAATCATCCTGATGGTCACCAAGTAACCTTTTTGTTTGACCAATTCTGATTCACTGACTATATTAACACATCATTGCAGGATTGACGATTTCTATATGCGGTACTTTACTTTCGTTTAGTGATGTACAAATATTCAGATCATTCATTTTATAATTACGAATATTTTAATAAAACATTTTTGTGATTAATTTTATTTAATTCGGAAAATATTGTTTTAAGTATTAAATTGTCATAACTGTATCATTGTGTTCAATTTTGATCATCAATACTTAACCATGTTACCAATCTATAATTCACAAAAACATCATAATTCTCGGCCAAATGTTTATTCAAAGTCCAGACTTCATTCAATGAGACTTAAAGATTTAGTCTTTTATGCAGTATGAATTGTGAATATGTCATTATCCGCTTCTAAACAGAAATATTCCCCTTCGTTTCTTTTACGTTTCGATATAACCTGACAACGTTTATCTACTCACAATCCTAACGATTGCTGAACCCGTAGAACATTCAAGTCTTATAATTGCCATTACGTCTTTAGAAAATTTTTAGCTGAGAACCACATTGTTCATGTTTCTGGCATTAGGCAAGTTATGACATTGTGTAACAATCATAAACTTTTCACTACTAATCTATATTGAAATCGTGAATGATTGTTATACCATCATTAGCACTGGAAAGTCTTTTCATCCTGGTATCGGACTCATCAAAAGTGTACATCGGCGACTCTATCTACTAGAAGGACTCGAACCCAAGACCTTCGGTGTCGCACGCGAACGCTTAAACTTTGGATCACTGAGATTGTATCCAACTGTATTAATATCTTAATCTGATCAATCTAGGGATTTCGAACAACCTGACACATTTTCTTTGGTAGTTACTGCCTATACTCGACAGGAACAAATTCCACTGGTCACGTCTTCTCACTAGAACTCCTAGAATTTCCTCATGAAGCTACGAGTCACTAGCGAGCACAATTTTTGATTTTGTAATTGAGTATTATGGAGATCATTGTTTTAATCTCATTTAATAACTCATAAGCTAGAACTGACATTAAATTTGAAAAATCTTCACAAACAGTTATCTTTAACTTACAAGAAAAGAATTAATTCCATACTGTTTTGTCAACTGATCTATTTCATTAATTTGATTCTCTTGTATTTCCACAAAACCAATACGAATGATAATATCACACCAAAATTTTGTTTCTTTAAAAGTATCTTGATATTTTAATAAAAGATCAATTGCTGATGAATCTTTTGGACAGATAATTGTATCAACTAAAAAAATCGAATTTAAAAATATACGTGTTTGTATATATACTACTTAAATAAAAAATTAGTAAGCAAAATTTAAAACACAAAATATGTAGAGGAAATTTGAAATTATCATTATTGTTATTATAGGGTAGCGGAGATTGTTGAGTTTCATTAAAATCATCAAACCCCCAATAGTGGACCACCATTGGAAACCCAGTAGCACGGGATGGTCTTCTAGTCTAAAATTGGTCAATTCAGTATTTCGTTGAAACTCAACAATCTCTACCATCTCATAATGTCATTTCTCATGTGCTCACTGGTGGCTAGCTTCATGAAGGAATTCTCAAAGTTTTGATGAGAAGCCGTGACTATTAAAGCTCAGTTGTGTCAGGTGTGTGGCAGTAGTTACCTACAATAAATAATGAATGACGTCCACGTAATATTGTGAATCGATTGAAGTTAGACATGAATAACCGTGGTTAGGAGATTAGTCACTGACGAGTGAAATTTAAGGTCCTGGGTTCTATTATCGTTAGTAAAGTCGTGGATATCCACTTCTGATGAGTCTCATGCTAGAACGAAACGACCATCCAGTGATTCAAGATTTCTAATGATGGTCTAATTGACAACAGTTTTCTATGTACTGATTGGAGACTGGGCTTATTTTTTCCTCGACTAATAGTACCGATTTTTATTAAGCTGACAAATTATAAGCAAAGTTATCTATGAATTTTAGGTGTAAACCTAATAATGGTACATTTTTTATCGTACTGCTCGACAGTACAGCATTTGTAAAGCTGACATAACCATTCGAGCGTCTACTCAATTGTGAGACTTCGTATAATTTTTACAGTCATTCTAATTATAAAACGTTACTCAATAAATCAACAAATCATTTCCACTGTAAACTTACCAATTGTGGTAGTTCCACCAAGTAAAGCTTTCTTTGTAGCCTCGATATAAGCCTCTTTATCAATGGAATTCATATTTTGTATCAAACAAGTAGACATATCGATTCCAGCTGGCATAATTAACATTCCATTGGCATTAAGTGTTGGTATGTCCGATTGTACTTCTTCTAATTTTATGCCAGTTTGTCTAAGAAAAATTTTTTTTTTAAAAATTCGAGTAACAAAAAAAAATAAAATTACTAGAACGTTCCTTATTTACTAGATTATTAATTACGATGTCATGAGTGTCAGGTGGTTAGAAAACTATTTAACTAGTTTAGTCTGAATGAAATTGTTTATATAAACCAAGATGACCAGTTATAATTAGGAAATGATCAAGGTAATCTAACTCTGTCTCGGGGTCTTATCCAGGGTTACTAATGATTCCAGGCTAGGATAAAGAGGTAGGGTTGGGTATAGGGTTGGCAACTCCATCCTGGAGAAAACTAATCCGCTAAAAAACGCCAAGCCCTGTGAGTTGGGAGGTCTTCATTTAGAAGAGTTATGATATTTCATGATGAAAGCCGAGTTACTTCAGAAGTCAAGAGTCTGATGTTTCTTCTCGCAACCAGAGCAACTTAAGACAAATTTACGATACAATAAAGCAGCTTGCTGTAAAGTACAGTAATTCAGAACGACTAGTCAAGAATAAGGAATACACACCAATCACTAACAGCGGAAAACAGGGAAACATGTGAGTAGAGCACTTTGAAGAAATCTTGAATCAAATAAAACCGTTGAATTGTGCATATGTAAGAACTACATGGGGCATTACTCTTCTTTCACTACCAAGAAACTTTACAATAGAGTGTTGTTAAACGGAATAAACGACTAAGTAGGCGCTAGACTTCACGATCCACAGCCTGAATTCCGTAACGAATAAACTGCAACATCACGGATCATTGTGGAATAATCAACTGATTGGAATTCACTACTCTACATCAGCTTCCTTGTCTACAAGAAAGCACTTTACGGCAGGCATAAACACCACAGGGGCCTTTTCGACACTAAGGTGTACCTGGGAAGATAATCAAGTTCATACAGAATGATTAGGATGGATTACAGTGCTAAATCATGCATAGAGGATAACTCACAGACTCGTTCCAAATGAAGACTGGGGTCAGGAAAGGTTTCCAATCCTCACCCTTTCTCATTTCCCTGCAGGTCGACAGAATTATGACGACGTCAACATCTCAGAGGAAGCAAAGGATATAGTGTTCAGCTAGGATGCAGCTAGATCATTTGAATTTTGCAGGTGACCTAGCTTTTCCGTCCCATACAATAACAAATGCAGGCAACTACGGTCAGTGCAGTAGCAGCCTCAACGGCGGTAAGTCTCAACATATAAAAGGAGAAAGCAAAATCCTTCTATACAACGCAACATGCATCAACCAAATCACACTTGACCGAGAAGCTTTAGAGAATGGGTAAACCTTTACACATTTGGGTCGCATCACTGATAAACAGAATGCTTCTGATGTAGATGTTAGGACAGGAATCAAAAAAGCAAGTACAGCATTTCTATAATTAACGAACATCTGGAACTCAGAATAACTGTCAATCATCATGAAAGTGACAGTTTTCAAGGCAAAAGTCAAGACACTTCTATTGTATGAAGTGGAAACTTGGAGAACTACAAAAGCCATCATCCAAAAGATACAGGTATGTTAAACAAAAACACCGTCGAATTCTGACTCAGTGGTCTAGAGGTTAAGCGTTTGCGCCCGAGACCAAAGGTCCTGGGTTTGATTCTTGCGAGCAGCGGGAAATGTGAATGCCCATTGCTGGTGAGTTCTCTACCAGGGCAGAACGGTTAAGCAGTTTTTCAAAGTATCGAATGATGGTCGAATATTGGCCGATTCATGATTCCAAAAAATAAAATCTACTTTAGTTGACTCATTTAAAATATTTGTTCATTGGTTAGAAGTGATCATTAGAACAACACATATAAGGGAACAATATTGTTGTTTTCGATTAGATCATTATCAGGCTTTAATCTCTAATATACATGAATATTTATGATGAAAATGTTAAACCAATCGAGGCAATTTAGAAGTCAATCATCACAATGAAATGAAATAGATTCACATCGCTACTCATAATCGGCAAAAGTACAAGTGGATAGTAGGAAGACGACAGGTGTACTGATAGTGGAGATAGGAAAAAATAAGTACGATAACAAAAGTTTTATTAATAGTAGGTCAAACGTGAATATAACTAGACTTATAATAATCATTACAAAACATTAAAACCATTACGTAATAAAAAGGGTGTAACTAATTAGATAGTGAAGAAGATAAACGGAAAGAGTCAGAGAATTATCAACAAATACAGGATGTGAAAATACTGCTAATAATAACAAAATGAAATTCAGAAAAAATTTAAACGTTAGCCATGGAAGAGATAGGGTGTCACGAAATTCTTCTGAATACATAAATTGGGTTTGAAATCATATGGTTCCTGCTATGTGTAGGAGACGAGATCGAACTCCGTTGGGAAATGATGGAGGTATACGATAGATCACTCGAAACGATCTAGATTTATCTATACTATAATAGCTATCGGTCAGATGTGCTAAAATAGAACTGCGTATTGATTTTAACTGGCCCTTCATAAACCATCCTGTGATGATGACAATCTAATCGTAAAAACCGAAACATCCATCTCAGAGAACGAAACACCACCACAATCATTCACCTGAGCTACAAATCTCAAGATCTAATCGAAAACAATACTATTGTTCGCTTATATGTGTTGTTCTAATTTTCACAATCGGAATCTTTAATATTCTCAAAATTGATCAGTTCAAAATGTCAAGGTCATTCGAAACGTCAACATTGATCCAATGGTTAACATTTGAATGAAAAACAGTTGTGTTACAACAATGATTACTTACATAACTTTTCCATCTTCAATTAATAGATCGGTGTGCTGTATGTAATCATTATTTACTAATTGTCCACCAGTGATATAAAGTTGTTTCTTCTATGAAATTGAAAATAAAAATAAAAATTGAAGCAATCAAGAAACTCGTTCGAATTGATACCATGAAATCATAATATCTTTGTCAGACCATCATTAGAAACCTGGAAGCACAGAAAGACGGCCGTTTCGTCCTGGTATGGAACTAGCAGTGAGCATCCACGACTCCCGCATCTCACAGGATTTAAATCCAGGACCTTCGGTCTAGTGAACGAACGTCTAACTTCTGAACCACAGGCCCGGTATCCAACGGTGTTCCTTTCGAATCCTGCGAGGTTCAGGAGTAGTGGATGCGCACTGCCACTGATGAGTCTCATATCAGGACGAAACGGCCGTCATTCAGTGCTTCCAGGTTTCTATTGGTGGTCTAACAATGATCCATGCATGATTTCAGTGTGTGAAAACACTAATCTTCATAACTCAAATTGAAAAATAATTATTATATAGTTAAAGTTTATGTTTTAAATAAAACTTGAAGGTTATTTCACATGTATGACTTGACATACAGCTGAGATAAATTCAACCTTAGTGGCAATATAGTTTGTGTATTTTTAATCGTAGTCTGAAACATGCACAATTCTGTATTGAATAAAACTCCAAAACTTGAGATTATGAACTAACAATAAACACTCAAAACGTATTCAAAGGAACATCAAAGATCTTTATATTAGATACAAAAAAAAGACCAGAACAATACTACAATGAATTTTTTTGATTATGAAGAAATAAAGTACTTTTTTTCTAAAAGGACAAACAACGGACACGCTTGAAATACTTTAGTTTAAGCAAAATATCTACTAAGTTAAAGTAAATTAGTCGCTTTAATAAATTTGAACAATGAGATGAGAAGACGAAGGTTATTAGAAATACGTGATCACATGCATACAAGTTAAGGCATTATACATGAAAATACAAAACAGTTAACTAGATAAGTTAGAAGGTGAGGTGAAACAAGAATAATAACAATGAAGCCCACAATGTGAAAAACCTCTTCCCAATTCCAGACTTTCTGTCAACGGCTAGCCATTAAACACTTATACTCGCCACCATACCACTCGCAATCGAATGGGCAAGCGGGAAGGTTTAAGGATACGCTTAAAAGAGCATTGCTTAAGTCAAAAAGGGATGGGACACCAGCTGACGCGTTATAAAATTTCTTGTACGTCTATCGGACAACACCAAATGAGTTGTTACCGGAGCAAAACTCTCCAGCAGAAATCCTGATGGGAAGAAGATTGAAAACGATCCACAGCCTGATGCATCCGACTAATGCACCCAAGAGACAAAGCCGTAAAGACAATCCGTTTACGAAGTGGGATTTCCTGTGTTTGCCTGCGACTACTGAACGAACCATGGTCCTTGGGCAGAAGCGTGAGTTGTCAGAAGAGTTGGTCGAGTTATGTACGAAGTAGAGGTAGGAGGTGATAAATGGTCACGTCATCGAAGTCAGATATGCCGACGGCTAGCCCCAGATCGCCCATCAAGAGCAGAAAGCCTTCCCCTTGACATCTTGCTTGATACCTTCAACCTACCGAGAGCCCCGTCACGAGAAGAAACTCAGCAGCAAGCTGTTCTTCCTTCCCGAAGGTATCCTCTCAGACAGCGGCGAACGACAGTCAAGATGCAAGTCGACCCCAGGAGCACACGCTATTAAAAGGGAAGGAGTGTTGGGGATGTTAGATCCCCAAAACTCGATTGATAAATGCCTTATTTTGGTTTTCACGTTTGCGACCATCGGCTGATCAGTTGACCTTGAGATTTCAATTCCCACCAGGAAAATCCATGACTGTGATTGGCTGCTGTGTATTTTAGTGTGCTATTTTTGTGACTGTCCCAAGGACGTTTCTATGTAGTATAAATAAACGAGAGTTGTATGCTTGATTGTACTGTGATTGCTGGGTGTTTGTAGAATATACTTTCTACGCTTACAAAGCCTTTTATCTTGAGCCTGGGGATTCAAGGTAGCCTACCTTGACGCTGGTAATTATCTCGTTCGCGTTTATCGACTAAGGTAAACTCGTAATAGCATCAAACATACTAAGCAAATCAGCACTATCATGATAGGTTAGACATTACGCCAAAAAAATGGAGACAGATATTAGAAGAATGAACAACAGTTGGACATAACTAGAAAGGAAGGCTCATAATAGAGTAGGTTGGAGAATGCTGTTCAGTAACCTATGCTCTATTAGGGGTAACAGGCAAAATTTAAGTCAGTAAGTAAGTAATCAAGGTAGATTAAGGGTAAAAACAAATTGTTTTAGAACATGTAAAGGGGTTTTGAATTTAGGTTTAGTTAGGCCTGCAATAAACGTAAGTAATCGCCACTCCGCCTGTAGACCCTTCGGGATTTTTATATCTTAGACAGCAATCAAAAGTTTTTGATATCACAGACAGCCATCACAAGTATACCTGACCATAATGTAATTTAAGCTTGGTTTTTATTCAAGTAAACATTTAGTTTTGAAAAATGGCGAGGACTATTCTATCTATGTATATTTTTTTATAATGGAGTTGTGGAGATTGTTAGGTACCTTTATAATCATGAATCGAACGATGTTAGACCACCACTTTTAGAAATCTGGAAGCAGTGAACGACCGTTTCGTTCCGGTTTGATTATTGAAAGCGGAAATCGCGGATGCGCACTGCCGGTGAGATTGATACCAGGACAAAACGGCTGTCCAGTGTTTTAAAGTTTCTAACGGTGGTCAAACATCAGTTGATTCATGATTTCAAATTAACTGAGCTATCTTCACAACCCCAGATTGAAAATTATTATATGATCACTAGTGACTAGCTCCATGTGGACATTTCTCCGAGTTCTGGTCAAAAGTTATGATCAGTGGAGTTCAACCCTGTTCGGGTGTGATGTAGTGCTCACGGATGACAGTTGATAAGGTTGTGCAAGACCGTGGATTGATCAGAGTTAAATATTAACACCGCTTGGTACTGACTCAGTGGTCCAGAAGTTAAGCGCTCACACGAAAGACCGAAGATCCTGGGTCGGATTTCGGCGAACGACGGTCCTGGATGCTCAATGCTGATGAGTCCCATACCAAGAAGAAATGGCTATTCAATGCGCTCAAGTTTCTAATGATGGTATAACATTGATCGACTTATTGTTTTAATATATATACATTATGGAAGCTTATTATTAGAAAGTTTAATTGTGACTGTCAAAGTCTGTGGTACATTTTCGGTCAATTGAATAAACGTGAGTCAATCAAAAAACTTATACTTCGAATACATCACGAGACAGTGACATCATCCTATCGGTAAATAATTTCAAAAAGAAATTACATCTTCATTTGAAAAGGTGCTAGAAAGATTAACATACAGTTTAAACAGCAGCCAACTATCTAATTAACTATAACCTTATTCAAAGTGTCATTGATGTATACTAAGCCAATCAGAAAGCGATCAGATGATCATCAGCAAGGACGAATGATTATCATTGGTTAAGAAATGCCTGTTCTTTTTTCTATGGAGATGAATATGTAAATGTAGGCGAGTATTATAAATCCGAATAGACTTCCTCTTACAATCTTTATGTTCTCGACTAAGCGGTCAGTCTATTTTAGAGGATGAATACTTTATCACGTTCAGATCTCCACACCGCACACCACAACAGATACATAGAGTGGTTAATATGAAATCTCTTTCAGAAAAAATAATCTAACACTTCCTTCAACTGTTGAATCATACATATCATCAGGATTACTATGTTGCAATCACAAATAAAATTGACATTGATTTATGTGAAAAATTATTACTGATAATTTTCATAGTACACTTTTTCCCAATTTTTTAAAAGGTATTCATGATAGTTGAATCGATTTTGTAATGGCTAGATAGAAGGGAGAAAGTGAGAGGTACACAGAGAGGGATAGAGATAGAGAGATGGACAGACAAATAAACACATGGAGAGAGATCAACACCAGAACAATAAATATGTTATAATCATTTTTCATTATACATTAGTAGTATTGAATATTGAAAAGCATAAAAAAAACAAGACAGTTCAATGTTCCAACGCAAAAAATTGCGTAAATCAAAAAATCACTTCACTAAACGAAAAATAGAAAGAGAAATAAAAATTCTAGTAGTATTTTAATGAAAGGATATAAAGTTTTTATTTGAAAAACAAAAAAACAGATAAGTTAATGGATTCATGTTATTATGATTGATTGTTTTAATGAATGAATGATTGAACAGAATTCAATGTTCAATGTAAGTCTATATATATTTATTTTTTGGATGAACAGACGTACAAGTCTCTCGATCGAGCAGGAGTCGTGGATGCGTACTGCTGATGAGTCCCATACCAGGACGAAACGGCCGCACAATCAGTGCTTCCAGGTTTCGAATGGTGGACTAACAATGATTGGTTGATGATTTCTAATTTTAATTTATAATCTTATATTGAATTACATTATACTTACATTTGCTGAATACATTTCTTGATAACCTATTTATATATATTACTCAGAGATTATACTTTTTTGTGTAAAAATTTACTAACGAATAGATTTTTTGTTTTAAAAGTAACATTGTGTAATACCAATGGTTACTTGTGTGGATGAATATTTGTACTCAACTAGATAATATATGCTTATATATACATATATATGAATACCTCATACTGAGAGTTTGTATTTGTACAACAGCAGGTTAATATAAATCCAACTTGTAATTAATTAATTGTTGTATAGAAATTATAATTTTTTGATTAATAGTACTCATTAAATAGAAAGAAAAAGTTCATGAGCTGAATGCGAAATAATTTTCTTTTCTCTTAAAAATTTACTCTTATTACATTGATATATATAGTTTTATTTTGTTAAGTAAAAATCAAATAATTTTTTGGTGAATAAAAATTAAACATTGTTTTCAATGGGTTGCAATCTGACTTTAGTTTAGATGTATAACTGAGTATACTATGAAGTAAATCTTCTCCCCCTATTGTTTGTACAACGACGGTAATGAGAAGTTAAATACTGAT